TTCTAGTTACGACCTTTGTACTCAGTTGCTGCTTGATGTAGGTTGCTAAGCCTTTAAAAAATTTGCACATTGATGATATTAAACAAAATATATTTTATATCTACATTTGAATAGATAAAAAAATCATAAATTACTACATTGATAACAAAGAATTCTGCTAAAATTTACCAAGCTTAGTAACTAAGACATATTTTACTCTAAAAAAATGAAATTTTGGGCAGACTAAAGACACATCCTACCTCATTGAAATATTGGTTCAAAAGAAAGAAATGGCACCAAAAACCATTAAAATGGATGAGAGAGCCACGAGGGGACATTCTGAGCTGCCGACTGGTTATTCATGTCATATAGAGAAATTAGTGTATATAAGGGAGCATTTCCAAAAATGGAAAGAGGTGGGTGGGGTGCCTCTGTGTTTGATATATTACATGAGCAATATCTTAGCAAATTAAAAAGATAAGAGGCTTTTATGTTATATTCTAGCTTGTCAATATCAGTAATTTGAGTTTCTAATTCATATGAAACTAGAGATTTAGTATTTTGACTTCACAAACATCTAATTTGAGCCAGTGTTGCATTCAACATACCACGTGTTACACAAAAATCCATGTTTATCTGTGTTTTTAATATTTGCTTTTAAATTAAGAAATTGAGTAATATATAGTACCAAAATTTGAATTATCATCTACAGTTTGATACCAAAGTTATTGACATAATTTCATGAAATAGTAGTTCAATAAAATTTTCAATGTGACTCAACAAACGAGATGACATGGCTTTCCAACCGTGACCTGTCTCGAAAGGGTTAAACAATCAATCTACAGTAACAAAAATATCTTTTTCATGTTCTTTCATTCTCTAATCTCGACTGAATTTCAACATATTTTAATAAAATTATTTTTTTCCCCTTAATTTTAAATGTTATAAACAACAACTTTTTATAAAACATTTCATGAAAAAGTCACAAATGGTTATGTACATGTATATTAGATTACATACTACCACTGCTGTAAAGCTTCCTTTGTTCCTGACTAAATCTGAAATCTAACATCTTGTCTCAACCATCGAGTTTAAAGAATGACCAGAAAATCACACTTGATAACATAATGTGTCTTAAACTCAAACTCAATCAGCCAAAGAATTCATTATTCATATGGAATTGCAGCATATAGCAAGATTACAATACAAATGGCTTGCATTGTATTATGTGTAGCATAACAAAGAATGGAAACTTGCAAAATATGAATGATTTTAATTTAGATATATTAATTAGACAAACTGAGAAATATTAATTGTTTAAAAATAAGTGTTAAATAAACAGTACATATAATGTCATACCTTCATATTTATAAAGTATTTAAATATTGGTGATACTTAAAGTATTAAATGAAACAATAAACAATGTTTATTTCAGTTCAATCCTGTGGTGAAAACTGAAATCAATACCATTTGTTCTATTGTTGACTTCTTCAAATATGCAAGTATATTGAGTGTTAATTCACAGCATGTACCAGAATCTCACCTTTGGAATAAGTTATTACAACTTATAATAAATACATAAATATATATATATTCATTTTTTTTTCAGTAAGTTTACTGATTTGCATGTAAATGTACTGTGTTTTAATACAAAGAAACAAAGGAAGTATATGTACAGTTGCCAAAAATCTAGAAAATACCATGCATATTTCTACATTGTCAAACTTGACTACATGTACCTGAAGTTCAAAAAAGAAATAAATACTTCATTATTTAACTTTACTTGATAAATGCCAAATTACATATAAACTCCTGATAGATACTCACCTTCTATCACATTGGCCTTTACCCAATTCAGTGCTGCCCCCTATATGCAAACGTTTTTGCTTGCCACTTGCCTTGAGGCTCCCACCTAATCTCACATGTTTTTACACGATATTGTTGCATTATTGCATTCAAATGAGCATGCAACAACTCTCCATCAATAGAAGTGCAACACAGCCATCTGCCACATCTGGGTCAGAACAGGAAAGTGACATATACCCTGCAACTAAGTGAGGACATATGTTGGCTGATCCAGAGCCAATCCAACACCAGACCACCCAGGAGCCATATGAAAAGTGGTAGGATGGGAAAAGCCAACCAGAGAGTGAAATGTATAACATGGCCAGAACACCACTGCTTTACTGTATTGAATGGAATTGGTCACACTCAGGAAGCATTCTTCATGGCCTATCACTGAGGGGCTAGGAACTGATGAATGGCAAGGATTCTCAAGCTCCACTAGAAGAAAATACGAGGGGGGGTGAAACATGGTGGGGAGTCCAGAGGAGCACATCACTGCAAGACAATGCATTGGATGACCACGAAAATCCTATCTTTAAAAGAAGGCCAACATTAGCTTTAAAGTTAGGCATGGATTCCCTGTTTGCTTTACTACTGGTAGTATGAGTGGGTATGGTCTGAATTGGGCCTTGTTTAGGAAAATGAGCACCATGAGGATACTTCAATCAATTTTGTGGAACACCATTTCTTATGAGTGAGTGCTATATCAGATCAGAATTACCCTCTCCTGTGTGGATTTTGGTTAAGTATACCATGGAAGGTAACACTTGCCGCTAAGCAGGATCCTGTAAGAGACTATAAAGGGCTTTGTAAAAAGAGGATAAGATAAAAAAAAGAATGAATCACTAAGTCAGAGATGATACGAAGAGCAAAAAATAGCAACCAGAGCAGTCTATAGTCCAGTGAGGAAGCAATTGTCATATGATGGAGATGGTATGTAATACAGGTGTGAGGTGTCATCCACATGCCAGCACAAACAATCTCCTCCAAAGTAAAATGGAAGTGAGCAGCCAGTGAGTGTGTCAGATGACAAATTTAATGGGAGACAACCTTGAAATGCCAAAATGCATCTCCATTCAATAAAGAATATGATAAATGGATAAGCTGTCTGACCCATCCAGTGAGAGTAACAGGAGAAAAATCATAAGTGGATGAAGGATTCCACAGAATAAAGAGATGGAATCAGGAACCATGAGAGGAAGAAGTGCATATCAAATATAAATAGACCTCACCAACAGGACAGAGGAAATGATCAAGATCCAAATAGGAGTAAAGATGAGAAATGGAAGAAAGAGATATAGAGGTGAATGCACCTCATGTGTCACAGACATTTTAGAGAGAAAAGCATGATTCAGATAGATAAGGATAAAGGAGCAATGGAGTAGAAGGTAAGAAGAATTGATGGTATACACATTACAACATCGATGACCACTGGCAAGGAGAAGCAAATAAGATTTAAGGAACATGAAGCCAAAGGTTCAAAGGGAAGTTATATAAGGACATGGAGAAAAACATGAAGGTCTCAGTCAGGTAGGCTAGAAGGATGGAGAAAGCAATGGAGATGAAAGGAATGAATGAGCATACCAAGAACTGGAGAGGTAATAACCTAATGGAAATGGGAAAACTTGGAAAGTAGCTGAGTAACCAGCAATCATCAAGATACACAAAACCTATTCAAAAAACCATGTGAAGAACTCAGACAGATGGGGAACAGAAAGAATAAGAATGTGAAAGAGATTGACGCAGAGATAAGCATTCCAACTGTCATGCAAGGGATCAGACAAATCCCACACAAGGAAATGGAGTGATGACAAGGATGGATGGATGGATGGATGGAATAGTATGGAGTAAGAGGCTGAAGAGGAAGGTAGCAGATGAGGAAGTGGATGGGAGGAAGTCAGCAGGCTCAGCTGAGGAAACCACAATTGAGCCAGCCAATAGGATACTACAGAAGGACCCAACAAGGAGTGTCTCAAAAAAGAAAGAGAACATGATGGAGGAAAAGAATAGGATGGAAGCATGAAGGAAGAGAATGGACCAGTCCTGACTGAATGCATCCACTGTCAATACCAATGTGTGCAGAACAAGGGACAAAAATAAAAGAAGCTTGGCAGAGGCATCAATGTGATGAGTGCTCAGGCAATAGCAAAGCCATTGAAAAACATGAGGATTGAGGGACCACTTAGTGGGAAATATCAGGTCAGGTCTCAAAAGACAATCTGCAATAAGATTCAAGGCACCTGAAACATGACAGGACCCAAAACAGACTCACAGAGAATGATACAAAAAGAGAAGATTGAGGGTTTGGAAACACAGAGAGTGAGGAAAGTGCCACCCTGGTAAGTGATATAGGATACCACAATTGAGTTGTCCAACAGGATAATAAACAAATAACCACATACACATACAACTGGAAAAAAATGGTCTAAAGCCAAAAAAAAAAAACACTAAGAGCTTCAAAAGGTTAACATGAATGGTCAATTCTTCCAGGTTCCATTGAGCCCAAATCTCAAGAGTTGAGACAAGTGTCCCAACCCACCATGGATGCATCTGTAAAAAGAAGGAAGAGAAACATACCCTGTAGAAGTGGTCCTGTTGAGCTACCAGGTCCGATTATCAAAGAGGGAAGATGGATGAGGAGAAGACAAGGGATCCTGAGACAGGTTCCATTAATTGTGTATAGTCTATTGTAAAAGACCCATGTGAGCAAAACCCAAGGGGAAAAGGGGTTTATCGGAAGCCCATATCCCCAAGAGAGGGAGAGAGATAACCTCTTGTGCAGGAAGAGAAGAGGATAAGGCTGTAGAAACCAAACTCTCCATGGCCTGCAAATAAAGCAGAGAAGGCTGTACCTTTCTGAGATAGTAATGGAAAAACACACCCAAAGAACCAGATATTAGGTTGGTGTGAGATAAAACTTCTTCAATGACCAGCCTATCCAGTCAAGCTACCTCCCAAAGAAGAAGAGTAGGGTGAGAGGAATCCTGTCAAGATGGAGCTAACAGAAGCTAGCCATTCACATAATGGTGGAATCTCAATCTTAAGCCAGGAATGTGAAGAGTAAAAGCATGCATTACACAACAAAGAATGTATGGGACCAGCACCAGTCCAAAAGTAAGAGCTCAAAACCCATAAGTTTAACCTTGATATACAAATCAAAGGTAAAGTCTGGATGATGGGAAGATGGGGATGTGAAGATAAGCAGAAATTTCCATCTTGGCCATCCAAAGTTCCAGGGAAAACAACTACCACAGGGTGAGAAAACTCTCCATGGTAAGCCAAGGAAGGTCAAGAAACTGACTGAGATGTGAAAGATCTATAACCAGACACCTAACCTCAGTTAAACAGGGAAGAATAAAATCCCTGAGAAGGATGAGAAACTCTTTCATTAGCATTCTTATTCAAAAGGTCTGACACTGCCTCAGAGAGACTCCAGCAATATACAGGACCTCCTGGAAATCGAAAGGAAAAGGAACTGAGAAAAGGGTAAGAACTTGTAGCACCAACGGTCGGCCACAACGAGAATCCACACATCCAGAAATGGAGACAAACGTGCCCCTACTGCTCCTGAGCCAAAAGGAAAGTCACTGACAAGACTGTTGGTGTTCAAGTCTACATACAGTGATAGAACGGATGAGAGAGGAGGAATGGGATGGAAGAATTGGAAGTGGAAAGGAGTTGGGAAACCGAAACTTGATGAGAATGAACTTGAGAAACACGGGACACAAGGGTAGTCAAGGAGAAATGGTGATGCAAGGTCTCAGCCAATGACTAAAATAACTTAAATCCACCACCATAAATCCATTAGCAGAGGAAAGGAGCAAAATTAAGGGCACTGTGATAGGAAGGGGGAGGAGGTAAAAGTACTTGGGCAAAAAGGATTTTTCTCCCCAATAAATCGCAACAACAGAGTAACCAAGTCAGGGGAATGGTGAATTGCTTACAAAAGGAGATGAATGGAGGTTAAATAATGTAATAGGATATTAAAGGTAAGGTAAGGAAAATGAGCTTGAGAAAGACTAACTGAGGAAAATGGATCAGAACCTCAAGCCTGAAGAAGAGACTCCAGAATTTGGGAGTCCAAGAAAAGGGTTCAGCTTGATTGTAAACCAAGGAACTTGTGCAACCAGCACTAGAGTGAAGTTAAAACAAACAATTTTTATCCTGGACTAGGATATCAGGGAAAGGAAGAAAACAATATTCTGAAGAAGGGGCCAAAGAATATGAATCATATGAGAAGTCCATGTCAAGCCCTGAACCAGGTTGACTGCAAGACTCCACTATCCACCACACAAGCTGTTACATCCCCTGATGGACAAAGAAGCACCCAATGCCACTGTGGTAGTCTGTCTTGAGTGAGCAAAGTCCAGATGTTCAACACAATACAACATGGAAATTACCATATTGTGGAAAATAAGAGTTAGAATTATTTAAAAAAAAAGCCACAAAACAGATTGTACATACTTCAAACAAGTACTAATATTGAGAAATCTCATGCAAGTGAAAAAAATACACGTCTTAACACAAGTATCAAATTGAACAATAAATATAGAAGAATCTAGCTGAACTAGGAAATGGTGTTGCACTCTTATTGATGATATCATGTGGAAACACATGAGATTAGGTGGAAGGCTCAAGGCTAGTGGTGTGTGAAATAGTTTGCATATAGAGGACTCCACTGAATCAGGAAAAGCTAGATGTGAGAAGAGGTTATGCATTGTAACAGAATAGCATATCTGTTTACTCTGTGGCAAATACATACAAAAAAGGAAGCTTCAAAATATTAACAGTGTACTCAATTAAACAAAAAGCACAGTTTATTATATAAATTTTAGATAAACATGGTACAAGGTCAGAAATGGTTAGGAATCCATCTGTGACAGAGCAGCATATAGTTGTATACTTACACATGTTCAATTGACGAATGAAACTAGCCATATTGCTGTGTTTAAAATATAGAGGAAGTACTTCACTGGCAAACTGAGCTTGGTTTCGAATAATAAAACTTGCACCCATCTAGAGAAAAAATAACTTATAATTCCTTGTTATTACAAAACTCATTACAAATACCAGCACATAACTAGAAATAATAAAACAGTTAATGTTTACCTCTTTCATTTCAACATTTCATATACATTATATTATCAATATACTCAAATATGTTCAATTGGATAAATGTTGGTTTTGCAGTGAAAAACACAGGGAAAAATTGTCTAAAAACAGGTAAACAAAAATAATTTTAGATGACTTCACATTTAATTTCAATTATTTTATATTGTGAAGTACAGCACATATGTACTATACAGTTCTTTGTACCTCTCCATTTCAGCTTAAAGACTGAATGCTGAATAGACAGATTAGGCAAGAACATAAAATATATACATTAAAACTGATGACTAAGCCACATTCAAAATTCCAAATGTTAAGATATTATGACTAACATACCTTAAGGTCCACTAAATTTATGTAACAGAAATATCTGAAAACTGTACTAAATAAGCTCATACACTAGTTCATGAATATATATACCATATTTGCTGGTGTATAAGACAATACCTTTTACTTTTAAAACAATGCCTGATTTTACCCCTTGTTTTATACACATGTTCCAAGATGAAGTTCCAGTAAGAACTCTCCAGTTAATAGCACATTTAATCAAAACTACCTTGTTCCTTTACTTTTCTTTTTTGAGTAAATGCATTGACAACTCACTATCAACCTCACTCTAACAACTAGCTTTTTATATGTATATGGCTCAAATTATTTCCTACACTGGAGAAGCTCCACCCACTAAGGTCATATCCATGTTATTATGTTAAACTTCATTCCAGATAAACAACAACAAATACTTCTACAAATATCTAGGTTACCAATACAGACTATAACACTGTTCCCTCCCATGTTTATGCAGTCCCTTCTATAATTCCATTATTATAAGGAAATTAATGGTATATCACTTAACTCTTTTGTTATGATCTTCAATTCAGGTGGGTCAAACTGTGAATGTCACAACCTTCAACAGTGTGTGTGTGTGTGTGTGTGTGTGTGTGTGTGTGTGCAAGAGAGAGAGAGAGAGAGAGTAGAAGATAGATATTTATTTTACTTCTTTACGAGTAGTCGACGACGTACCTTACCGTTGTTACGAACCAACTAACTACTACTACCAAACC